ATCTCAGGTAAGAGAAGAACGCGAGAACACATCCTTCCCTCTCCTCTACGGCTTCGTTTCTTCTTCTTCTCTGTGCTAGGACATGACCTCCTCCTCTAATCCTCAGTTTCTCATTATCGCTGGATACTAATGAAAGACGCCCAACTCTAAACTTTTAATAGTCAAACCTCTTGAAATTACAATTTGAAAATTTTTATTTATTTATTTTATTATTATTATTTGTGTAATTGCAATTATTACAATTAAACATTCTATTAACAATGTTTAAATAAACACATCTTTAGGAGCAATGTCAAATCTAGGTCAAACTCAGCGGATTGTCCAGCCCAGAGTTTATGCACTTTCACAGCAAAAAGCTATGGACTCCTCCCATGTTATCACAGTTATATTTCGCATTTAAGAATTTAATCTAGTGTGTTTTTAATCACAATAGAATTCAAACACAATGAAAGAACTTGAATATATTAATAAATCAATCATAAATGTTCCCTACAATAGTTTTAATGTTTGTTTCAATATGATTATTGTTTGATTCGGGAGCATGACATTCTTTTATAGTTGAGGAATTGGTTAAAATGATGTAATCGAATATTATCTTAATTCTTGTGATATTATCGGTTAGAATGTCAAATGATACTAGATTAAAGTGTTATTTAATAAGGAATTGCATTATTGCTTTATAAATATTTTTATAATTAGAGGCATTTTATGAACTAAAAAATTTGTGAACTGAATGAAGTGAAAAATAAAAAAGGGGAATGTTGATTTCAATGACTTTAAATGAAAGTAATTAAAAGAAGTGAAATATAAATGTGTAAGTCAATCAGGATTATCTCTAGAAGGTACTGATAAGGGATGTGATATACCTGTGTATAATAAAAAAAATGAAAATAATAAAGGTGTACCTTTGGGTGCAAAATTTGAGGGTAACTACGGGTATAATTTTGCTAATACCTTCGAGCATAACGGTAATCTTGATATAACTCTTAAACAGCTTAAAAAATGACTACTTAAATTGAAATAAGAAAAGATAAATTTTGAATGAAACCTTACAACTTTATAAAATAATAGCTACATTTCTTTAGTCATTCATACATGACATTTGCATATAAATTTTATGCATATTAAGATCATAATTGTTCACTAAGTTGAAAAATTATTCTTGAATTTAATGGTTTCTTTCAGGAAAAATAGTAGGTTGATGTCTGACAAGAGAGATTTAGTTTATAGAATGAAGACTAATGGTAATAGGTATTATGATTGTAGTTTCTTTTCATTTTCTTTTGATAGTAATTCACTGTTATATGCTAGTTTAAGATATTGTCTGCAGATATTATTTTTGATGTTTCAATTTTTATATGTTATATTTTACGGTTTCTTAAAGGCTCTTTTATATATTAGAAGTTTATAGAATTCTATGAATAGTTATTTAAGTGTTAATATCATCTGATGCAGTTCCTGACTTGGGTAATTATATGTTATCAGACCGAATTGTGCCAAAAGTAGTATCAAAGTGGTGCAGCGGAAGCGTGGCCGTCCCAACCCACAAGTCCCTGGATCAAAACATGGTTCTAATACCACACATATACCACTATCAACTATATCAGAGCTAGGTTTCAATCATGGGACTTCTGGGTTATGGGTCCACCACGCTTTCATTGCACCATTCTGATACTATTTTTGTCACGACCGAGCCTGATAGCTTAGAATTAACCAAATCGGAAACTGCAATCGAATGGGATTAACAATTAAATAACTATCCATATATTTCTAGAAACTTTCAATTATTAAAAAATTACAAAGAAAAAACAAAGTATGTCACACAGAAATCAGAACATCTAAAAATAACAGTCTGCAAATAACATCTCAAACCAACATATAACAACGAATTACTATCCAAAATAAAATGATACAAAGAAACTATAATCATAATATCTATCAGCAGTAGTCTTCTTCCTATAAACTAAATCTCTGTCACACATATCGAACTACTATTTTTTTGAAAGAAACTATTAAATTTAATAGTAAATTAATTTGATCAATAAAATTTATTTTGCACGCCTAAATTCCTAATCCCCAACATGCAACATTACAACAACAATGAAAACAACAACAAAATGAAATGGAGTAATTTAAAAAAAGATGTGCATAAAGCTCCAAGTTTGATGTTTCGTTTTCTTAAATATTGGAAGCCACGATCTGACCTGGAGTTTGGAATTAACCAACACAAGAACAGACGATCAGACAATGAAAATTAAAAATTTTCTATATTCAATTTCTACAACTAAAATTTAACGATGAAAGAGTCATTAAAAAAATTAAATTAAAGCAATATAATTAAATTTATTTCATTATTGGTCGTCTGCATCTTCTATAAACATTTTCACTTCTACCAATCATTTTTTAACACTTAATTAAACTTGAAATATTAATTTAAAATAACAGTAAGCTAAACAAAACTAGTCAATACTCGTTCTCCTAAACTATAATAATTCAATGAAAAGGGAGACAATATACATGTCGATTATACTGTATAAAAAAATATAAGGGTATGTGGTGGTTTGTACTATCTAATATGATTATTAAAGATGATTTTAAACTTTCACTATATCCCATTATATCCTTTACATATTAATATTTTTTAAATTTGTATACATCTGTCACAGAAGCACAGTCTAAACATGTATCATTTAAGTTATTTCAATATCAATATCATTTTCTATATATGTGCAAAGCACCTTAAAACTCTCCCGCTAGTATCATAAATGTGTGACTCCGTCAAGCATGTACATGCAAACAATCAAAATAGTAAATCTCATTCTTTATTTTTTCGTTTCATTCAATAACATGAATTATGCATTTAAATGACGTATATAAATATCGATGACATTCAATATGATCAAATAAACTTAAAGGGTTGGTAAATCTATTTAAGCAAGTTATAGAGTATATCAAATTTAGAAAAAATCAAATATTACTATAATTTAAACGTATAAGTACTCACCTTGCTTTCAGATGATTTTTGCTTGCTTATAAATTTCTAAAATATCTTTTACCATAGAATACCTATAATCAAATATAAAGTATTATTTAATTAAATTATCGCTAGAATTTAATATATTGACATTATTTATGATTTAATTATTTGGGATTAAAAGTTTATCTTATTATCAAAGTTTGACATTAATATATTTAAAATTAAAATAAATATTAATTAAGTTTTACTTGAATAAATTCTTCTCGCTTGTATATCTCCCTTACGCACATAAACAAGCCTAAAATCCTTTTTGTTGGTCTTCCTAACATAAATTAACATAATCTTATATTAACATTATCTTAAAATTAAGTGTTTAATCAACATAAATTAGACGCATTATTCAAATTTATCTCAATTTTCTCTTATTGTAAAGTCAACAATTCCTTTAGGATCCTCTTTAACCATTTATTTACCGTTAATTCTTCTTTCCTGCTTTACAATTTTGATTGACAAAATAAAATTCATAAAAATTCTTTAAATGCAATTCAATTAATATAATTAAAAATCAAAATAGCATTAAACCCTAAAATTTACCTCTGTTATCTTGATCTCTTTCACAAATATCTTCCTCCGAATTCGGACTTGATAGCATTGATCATGATTTCAAATGCAACTAAATCGAACATTTAAATAATAAACTTACATAAATTTAATTTTTTAATTAAATAAGTTAATTAAAATATTAAAACTTACCCCCTATATATATATATATATATATATATATATAAAGCCCTCCTCTTTCTCTGTTAGGGCTTGATTGAACAAGGTAGGATTTACACGACGGGGAAAAATTGCACTAACCTTCTTCCTCCCATGGCGTTTTCTTTGGCTCTGACTCCTGAGCGCTGCACTTCCCCCTTTCATTTCTTCGCACATAGGAAGCAATTGAGCCTTTCCCACACAATTTGACTTTCTTCTCCTTTACAACAGATGCACCCAATGATGTCGTTATTCGAGTAAGAGCAAGCCTTCTTCTTCTTCCTCCTTTCTTCTGCACATGAGGCTCAGTTCGAAATGCGAGACTTATCCTCCACTCCTTCGGTCAAACCCGCAAGCAAAGCCACTCCTTCCTTCAATTAGGGCATGATGTCATCTCCTCCTCCACTAGATCAACTAGGGTGTGATGGTTTCTCCTCTTCTCCCGGTGTCTCTCTTTCTCACTGTTCAAAGGTTTAATTAAAAAGATTCTTTCTTCGACTCGTAAAAAAAAATAGATTTTTATTTATATATTTATTTATTTATTTATTATTAGTAGTAGTATCATTATTATTATTTAACAATTATTACAGGAAGATAAAATACATTATGCTATCTCCACTAGTCACATTTATGTAATTTTCATATAATAAAGTTTTACCAAATAAAATAGCTTATCCAATTGTTACAACAACTAAAAAATAAAGACAAAAAAGTTGGATGCATTAGTCCCCAAGAACCATACTCACAATTAGCATTTTCAAACACAATATTATTAGGTATGTGCAGGACAAAAAAAGGTCAAGTGTGGCCTATTTATCATTTTGTTAAACTTTTCACATTGGAGAAAAAAATAAAATTTCAACAGAGAATTGAAATCCACAGAGAACCAACTAATATCCAATTTAGTTGACTTTTCAAGTCTACTATCCAATTTAGTTGACTTTCAAGTCTACTTACAGCAAGATAAATATTTTCAGCAAATATGGGAAACTGCTCCAGGTAATTAATCAAAACTTGGAAACAATCCCACGAAACAAATACAGCTAGAAAATTGAAAAAACAGAGGCACACATGAAAAAAAATATATTTGCAATATATAATAACATAAACTTCAGAGAGGTATAAGAATGTAAATTAAGAAAAAAACTTGCTCCTCCATCCCTCACTCATTCCCTTTCCATTCAGGAAAATACTGGGTATACTTGATGCAAATTAAATACCGAATATCAAAACCATCAAATTAAACAGCATTCATAGCACATACCTTAGCATATGCAGCAGATTCAAACTCTGCTTTTTCATTACTAAAAGTCTGACTTTGCGATAAACACCTTTCAGCTTCTACTTTCAATTTTTCAAAAGACTGGGTTTTTCTAATGACTTCTTCCTGCATGTTATCAAATAAAAGGTCTATTAAAAAAAAACCTATATGATGCCAAAATAATCATAAAATTGCAACAAACAAAATTAGGTTCTTTAGCGTGAGATAGAAAGCCTACTTAAATCCAGCTCCTCAAACTATATAAATCAATGATACCCATCACATATAATAACTTCATATTGTGTTTCCAAAAAAATAAAAAGGATTAATAACATGGTCTATTTATTCGGATAGTTAGATTGTTTTAAAACAACGATAAGGAGATAAGGAAGTTGCAAAAATGAGAATAACAAGTGTAATGCTGAAAAGAATGCTGAATTTTAAAATTAGCACGTCCAACAATAGATTTTTCATGTTTTAAGCTTCCATTAAGCTACCACATACAATTTTTTTACACAAATGTGCATGTATTATGGTTCATCCATATCATGAAAGTTGATTATATGGCCCTTGAAAGTAAAAACATTAACAATTTACAGAAAAGAGCATTCATTTATGATAGTATATGCCTTCAATTGATAAAACCATAGTGTATGATCATTTGAACTAAGGGAACATGGAAGATAGAGAAGTGAATGATTATCAACATAACTGCAATGTTTGAGCATTGAACTTATTAAGGAGATATTTTGCACAATTTCAAATCATGACTTCTGGCCAATTCTGATTCAGACGCAATGAGTTAACTAAGAATGATCAAATGATCAACAAGTTTTGGATGCAAAAGTAACGGATTCCAAGCCAGGCTACCACTAGGCCTCAGCACACAGGATTCAAAGCTGCCAGTCCATTCTCTTAAAATTGTTGAATCTACACCAACATGTGAGAAAATACACCACCCAAATCCAACCCACGACAAGCTAACCTAAATTTGCAATATTAAAGAGATGACCCAAAATCTATTGACAAAAGGTCAGTTTGGGACAGCTGCATGTTTTGGTAAAGTTGTGCTGGAGAAAGCCAGTTCTTATAAAGCTGCGATAAGAATTATAAATTTTTATTTTTTTTTCTAAAAACTTAGACAGTAGTTTTCTTACAGTCACAATATTTTAATAGAAATGGTTGCAAAAGGCAGCATTCTGCCATAAAAAATTCCGAAGTGCAGCAAGAAAACAACCCCCCCTCCAAACAGAACTGTGGTGGCAGCCTAAATTGCAACACAGACAAAAAACAGTGGCAAACAAACCCAAAAAGTAATAAGCCTGGATTTTTAATAGTTAGCGTACTTCCAAAAAAAAGAATCAAGCTAAGCATCTGCCAAGGAAGGTTTTCTCCAAAACCAATGCTTCCTGATGACAAAAGATTGGCTCCACTGAAGCATAAACTGAGTGCTTAAAAATGAGTTCTTCCAACTCATTCAAATTTGAAGATTCTACTAATCGAAAGCGCATTGCCAATTGGGTAAACATCCAGAAAACTAAAAGTAGCTATACCCTTCACTGTCAAAAAATTTAAACATAGTTATAAACTGAAAAATGAAAAAGAAAGGAATCGTCAATGGTTGCTATGCAGAATAGCAAAATAAAACGAAAATATGGAGAAAATTGATTCTGAATACATTTACAAAATGCCTCAGAGCAGCATGACTTACACTAAGGCGTATATTTGCATCCATTAGAAAATCCAAAATTTCAACAATATTTTGTTTGCTATCCGAAGATGGTTGGCATTTCCAGCGCCACTCGAGCTTGGTACCTTCCTTTTCAAATGTCCAAGACAACTATAATAGAAACACATATAAGAAATTCATGCTACAATTGAATGTGTAGTTAGGAGTAAATTCAAGCATAAGCTCTTCCAAAAGATCAATAATTCCAACAAATGTTAAAAAAAGAATTGGATATCCCAAAATAAAAGAGATGATAATCGTCACTCAACAGCCCATGATTTTTTTTTCCGGAAAACTTCTCCATATATGCAAACTATGAATAGTGTAACTTCTGTGATATGCTATTAAATTTTGACATGTGACAAAATCACTATCGCGGATCCAAAGCCTAGATCCAAAAAAAAAAAATGAGGATTATATTAAGTAGGAAACTAATCCTAAAACTTGTACTAAAATTCAAAAAATTAAATCAAGATTTGAATTTTATTAGTCTTGCGTGTTCACAATAAGCAAAGCAACACAATTTTACATAATTATGGAGAGAAGTTGTCATGACCTAACCCGAGACTTGGAATTAACCAAGGAGAGAATAGATGATCGGAGAGTGAAATTATATTTTATATTATTCTGATTATATCACTAACAATATAATATTTATAATTTAAGTGAAAGACATAGTAAAGAAAGTAATTTGATTAACAAATAAAAATTTACCTCTCAGGTTACTAATTTCATCTTTTGTAAACATTATTTTTTTTAGTATTCATCTTCTATTCAAAACTTTAACAAGAAAAAATATTAAACAATATAATGAGTTATCTAAGATAACTCAATTGAGCAATCACAGCTCTAAACTATAGTAACTCAAGGAAAAGAGAACAATATGTATACAGATTTTCATATTTCATTATAGAAATTCATATAATAAGCTAATGCATGTAGCCTTGACATTTGCTTAAAGGAAATAATCTAAAAATTTATATGCATTAACTTTAATTTTATTTTGAGGTTTAATATTTGAATTTATTTTTACTTTATACTCTTAACTTACACGTCTCAGGAGTACAGTCAAACATTGACCTAACACACCCTTGACCGATACTCTCTCGTCGACATAGCGGCCAATGATTTAAATTTAACAATTGTCTGAGATTGTATGATGTCTAATTATCCTTGACTGATACTTTCCCATCAGCACAATAATCAATGAGGTTTTACAATTTTCTGGGATGAAAGGAAAAACATTTATGCTCACTGGTACATTATGCAATTGTTTATGCATTACAGTTAATAAGCATAATTCTAAAGGTCATGCAATAATATGTTATATGCATCTCTATTTGAATCTAAAGATTATGCAATAACCTAATTTATGAACTTTTACTAGAATGTGAATGTAATGCAATAATTAATACATGCACATTACTAGAACTTGAATGTCATGCAATAATCAATATATACAGCTTTACTATACTATACATGTCATTCAATAATCAAATAACTTAATAAAAAATGCATTAAGTATCTATTTAATATGCACATTCTCCTATCTAACAATCTGAAGAATCTGCTATAATTTAATCTCATTAGAATAAATTAAAAATGAAATCAAGCATATATTTAGAAATAATGAAAATTACTGCAATTTAAAAATATAATTACTCACATCTAAATTTTTATCTTATTTACTCATACCAATTGTCCAACTCAAAAACTTGAATTTGTCAAAATCTGATATTATGCAGTAAAAATTACTATTCACGTTTATAAATCTCAATTTAAAGCAACCACTTAACTTAAATAGAAAACCTTAACCTGATTAATGTTTTTAATTCTTCAAGTTATTAGATATGGATATTTTTCACCTCAAATTTCTAATATTATTAAACAATAAAATTTGTTTTAATGCTTAAATCAATATTTTTTTGATTTTAATTAAATTTCAATTAAGAACTTACGTTTTATGGTGCAATTTCTTCTTCTCCCTCCAATTTCAAACATTCCTCAATTTAAAATTTTTAGTTTTATCAAAACTTCATATTAACATTTAATATCACTAATTAATTAATTATTCTAAAAAATATATAACACATTAAAAATCCTAACATTTACCTTCTCCTTCTTATGTGAAATCAACATTTAAAATCTCCAAATTTTACAAAACAAAAGTTCTTTAACTATTCACGTCCTATCATCAAATAATAAAATCCACTATTAATAATTTCTAGAATAACTTATCACAATTATTTATTAATTATATAATAATCCTAACATAATTATCATTTAAAATTCAAAGAAAATAAACCCATGAGCTACATAGAATTTGTTTGCAAGAAAATGAATAAATAGCATGACAAAAAGATTAATTGACACAATGACTAGAAGAAAAATCAACATCATTTGTTTACAAGAAAATGAATGAAAATCGGATAATTAATGAACATAATGAAAAATTATAACATATGTTGTAATTAAAGTAGAAACAGCAATTTAAAGTAGAAAAGGAACAGTCGACATATAAAGTAACTCGAAAAAAATGATGTTATTAAAGTAGCAACAGCAATTTAGAAAATAAGAAGAATGCATGGTTACTTTAAAAAAATGAGGAGCTAAGTTACAAATAGATCTTCTTTTAAAAGAACGCAAAAATCCTTTTCAAAAAAAATAAATTTAAAAGTGACAAGGAAAAAGCTTGACCACACAACATAGAAAGGTAGTTATGCATGTATATCTTGGAAACTTAAAGAAAATGGTCAAACAAAGTACTTACCTTCTAATATGATGATGGTACTTAAAAATGAGAATTTCTTTAAATTTTAAAATTAATTCAAGCTTTAATATGGGACAACATGATTGTTTCATCAAAAAAATTGCTATAGAAATTTTACGAGGTAATATATTAATGAATCATAAAGAAGAAACTTTGACAAACAGAAGAACAGCAAATGCTTTCAATGAAAAAAATCACAAACTTTAAAATGAAAAAAAAAAAACATTGAGATTTAGCAATAAGTATAGGGGTTAAGAGACCTGCAAAGTTAGGAGTATTAAGAAGATGCATAAAAAATAATTTGTTAAATAATTCAAATACTCAAGAACGAGAAAAAAGATGCATAAAAAATAATTTCTAAGGCAAGAAAAGTGGACTTTGCTTAAGTTAGGCGTACTAAGAATGATCCTAACAAGATTTTCATAAATACAATAAGACATCTAAAATAAAAATGCTACTATCAAAAACTATTAAATGATACTTTAAAAAAGAAATCATTTCTGAGAAGCAAAATTAATAAAATAATAAGATATATTTCAAAATAAAACAAAATAATATGAAAGTAGCCATGAATAAGTGAAATAATCTATGCAGCAAAATATATAAGAGCATAAGAAAACATGAAATTAGAAAAATTAAATTATTGATTTGTCAGTTTGCCAAAATACAATATTGATGTAATTTTTATGTTAAGATAATTAACTAGAAAAATATAAAGAACAAATAAAAGATTTATATAGTATTTTTATTAATCTTGATGAGGCATACGATCAAGTATTATAAGAATTGAGTTGAGGTATATATTTTTTTAAATGTCATAGCTATGTTAAAATAATTAAAATTTTACATGATCAAGCATTCACTAGTGTTAGAAATGAATACAAAATAAGAAGTAACAAATAACTTTCTTATCATAACATATATCAAAGATCAACATTAAATTAATATTTCTTTGTGATGATTATAGAACTGCTCACAAACATTATTTAACGTTTATGTTGATGTATACTTAAAATAAATTGAGTAATTTAATGGATGAGACCATTGCTAAAATAAGTAAGAAGTTAAAAGATGAGAAAACATTAAGAAAATGAAGAACTTAAAATTAGTAAGATAAATTAGTCGTATAATCTATGATATTATTGAGTAATATTGCTAATTATCAATCATTATTACCTTAATAGAAGATACAATAATATGTATGTGAGACGGATTAAAATTTCATAAATCTACTATATAGTAGAATGGATATATATACATAAGAATATATACTTTAGAGTTATGATAATTAAAATGGAAAAGTATCACAATTAATATATTATATAGTAAAATGGATATATATATATTAGATAGATAGATAGATAGATAAGAATATAAAATTTAGAGTTGTGATAATTAAAATGGAGAACTATCACAAGGGCGCTATGCAATATAAAAATATAACGGACAAAATAATCAATTTTATAAAATTGTACTTAGATCAATTACGTTGTATGATTATAGGTGTTGAACAAAATGGGAGTAAGAATCTTAAAGTGGGTCTATGGCAAAAGTTAGGATGAATTGATTGATACTAGTTACATAAAAAGGATGATGGATTATATTCTATTCACGATAAGGTAGTAAAAAAATAAGAATAAAGAAGATTAGTAGATGCACCAAAAAGTTGAAAAAAAAATATTAACGTCAAAGAATTATGACAAAAAAAAAAGTGGATACTAGAAGGTAACATGGATAGAAGTCTCCAACCACCCTCGAAAGCAAGTAATTTCCAATCCTTCAAAATAAACTTAAAAAAAGTTGCACCTTTCCTAATCAAGGGACTATTTCCAACTTCCTATGTGGCCTGACCTACGAGATCAAACCAAGTGTAGTTAAAAAAAAGTTTAAAATTTGCTCAGAAACGATGCAAACAGAAAACAGAAAGAGGCCACCAAAAATTTACATTAGGATAGATAATGTCCAAGAGAGTAAAAAAAGTGCCAAACTATCGAGAACCTTAAAGAATTGCTCCACAACATATCAATTAAGACCAATACACAAAATTGCCAACAATGGGGTCACAATATCATATTTCAACAAAGGGAGAAACTAGATTCCAAATGATAATGCCCAATCATCAAAATATCGCCAACAATAATTAAGGGTATGAATGCATGAGAATGGGGAGAATTCATCATACAAAAACACCAACAACAAGCCCTTATCCCACTAAGTGGGGCCGGCTACATGTATCCTTTTTCTCCATTGTGCTCAATTGAATGTCATGTTTTCATTTAATTCTAATAAATTAAGATCATTTTTTATACAACATGGCCAGGTCTTTTTAAGTCTACGCCTTTAAGTCTACCTCCATCTTTCTTAACATAAGTTGAATCTAAAACATCTACTCTCCTAATCAGATCATCATATGGTCAACGTCTAATGTGACTAAATCATATTAGACTACTCTCTCTAATTTTCTCTGCCACTGGAGCTTTCATATAAGATGACTCTCTTTAATTTTCTCTGCCACTGGAGCTTTATCAACCTTTTCACGAATACATTCCTTTCGCATTTTGACCTTAAGTGTAAAGCCACTCAGCCAACAAAGCATTCTTATCTCAGCAACACTTAACTTAGTTTTATGCTTCACTTTTATAAGCCAACGTTTTGCGCCATAAAGCATTGCAAGTTTTGCCAACATCTTATAAAATTTTCCTGTAGGCGTTACTTTTCTATCACACAAGAGGTTCGATGCATTCCTCCACTTCAACCATCTAATTTAAATTCTACTAATAACATACACATTTATATCACCAACACTTTGAATAACAGATCCGAGATACATAAAATGTTCACTTCTTTTAAAAATTTGACCACCCATTATTACAACTCTGTCACTATATCTATTACTACTAAAATTACATTTCATGTATTCAGTTTTAAATCAACTCAAACGAATGCCTTTAGACTCTAAAGTAGACCTTCATAATTCCAGTATTTTCTTAACTCTTTCTCTAGTCTTGTCCGCATGAAGGATATCATCAATGAAAAGCATACACCAAGATACAACCCCCTATAAATGTCCATAAGAACATCCATAACTAAAGTAAAAAAATACGGGCTAAAAGTCGATCCTTGATGTAATCCAACTAAAATAGGAAAATACTTGGTTCATCCTCCTTCTGTTTGAATGCAAGTAACAGCCCTATCATACATATCTTTAATGACTTGAATACAGCTTTCTTTTCTAGAACTTCTCTTAGAACACCGTTGTAAGATTTTTCTAGATCAATAAAAATCATATGTAGATCCTCCTTACTCTCTCTGTACTTCTCCATCCAACCTCTCAATAAATAAGTAAAACATTGATGAATTAAACGAGGGTAATAGTATTAGTCTACTAAGCAACGTTACAATTAGCTCCATTAAACCATATGGGTGGAGGCCTAGATGAGAAAACAAGATTCTTCTAAAGTATTTAGCAATTGTTTCAAAAACGATATTCCTTCAAAAGCATTTAGCAATTATTTTAGGTTACACTCTAATAAAGCCTTCATTATCAAAAGACTTAGTAGGTATATGAGCGATTAGAATATTGAAAAGAGGTGTCACAATAACAAACTCGAAGAAAAGAGTAACCTCTAAACTAGGGTTGTAGAAGCTCCCATCAATATATCTTGGGTTGAAGTTGTCAAAAGATTAATGCAAAATAGATTTATATTCATATAGCACTTAGTAAGGATGAATGGGTAATGAAGATTCTTGAGTTAACCCCAAATGGTTCGAGTGGGGCTAATGAGATGATGTCAAAGAAGATGAAGATAAATTTTGAGTGGGCAATGGTATAGATAACTATCAGAAGCATAAGATAAGTTCAAGAACTAAATTCACACGAGTTAGGTTTCAAGAATTAATCCAATTCAATGTATGACATTTTCATATTGCTATTTTTGGCTTTTCCTTCTATAAATATGCAAACTAATATGAGAACCACGTTTTCTTCTTGATGAAGCAGACATAGAAAGGTGCAGACAAGATTTATTGTTTCACATACTATACGTGGAGGTTACAGGTGTCTCCTACAAGCCTTTTTGTTCCTCTCCTCACCTTTCTAATAATATATAGTTGCCGCTGGAACAGTTAAGGACAAGAATAACCGAGGGAAAACAAAGCAAAGAAAGACCGAGTTCAACTACGAGGGTTGTCTAACCTAAACATAAAGCTGAAATTGATCAACAGACATGAGCCCTAATTACCTAAAGAGTTGACAAGAAAGATTGAAATTTTGACAGTTTAAACACTTGAGTTTTGCACAAATACCTTCAAAATTTACAAAATCAATTGCCAAACACATTCAAAATTTATTAAACCAGAATATACAGGATTTATTAAATCCTATTTGAATTTAATCTTACTTATACCCAAACAACCTCTAAATCCCAACCCCATTATATATATCTAAACGAAACTCATAAAAACAAAATCAACAACCACCAAAAAATCATTAAAAACGAGTACAGTAAGCTAACCCTCCTATGCCCTTTGCCAGCATCTTCGAAACCATATTTAGAATCCGGCTGCTGAAACCCTAAATACCGTTCTGCAAGCGCTATGTATTCCGACACCGACTGATCCCACTGCTCTGCTCTTTGCCTCACCTCTGCATCCGACCCTACCGAGAGAGACAAGACATCATTAAAATAAAAAAAGTAATCCATTTGCCGGAGATCGTCACAAATGAGGGCACGGAATAGAGAAACCAAACCCTCGCAGGTCCACGCATCGAAGCCGTCTGTAATGGAGAGGTGGAAGTGAGAGGTGAACCAAGTGCCGCGTATAAAGATTGAGGCATTGCTTCTTCCCGATGCAGAAGGGAGCTCGAGCTTGAGGCAAGTGTGCCTTGCGTCGGCGTTGCGGGCTGGGTTGTATTCCATGTCGAGCGGAGGCGACGAGTCGGAAACTCGACGTCTGGGCGGAGTTGACTCGGTTACAGGGCTGATAAACTGCGTACTGGGAATGATTCGTTAAGTTTCTGTAAGAGGCATTTACATATATAACATCAAAATTAACTCTATTTATATAATTAACATTCAAATATTGATTTTTATTAAATTTATTATGTCATTAAATTTTTTTACATCTTTTTTTATTACATGCCCTTGCTCCTATTTAAAATCCTAGAAGAAAAAAGAAGAGATCTGAAAGGCACTAATGCAGAGTGTAAAAATTATTCTGTCAGGACTTCTAACGTAGAAAATCATTTGGAGTCCAATGAAATCACGCCACGTGACGGTGACAGAAAAAAATAAATTTGTCCGGTAACACAAGGGAATATTCCTCCCATGTTATTCATGTGTTATTGTGTGTTATTCAAAGGTTATAGATGTGTTATTTTGTTATTATAATACTGTGAATATTCACATAACACAATAACATCTGAATAGCATATAATAACACCTGAATAATAAGGAATAACACAGGGGGAAATATTCCCGTGTTACCAGGCCAATTTTTCTGTCAACGCCACGTGAAATGATTTTATTGGACTCTGAATCGTTATTTACGTTAGGAGTCCTGATAGAATATGTTCTCTGGAGAGTAACAGAGTCGGAAATTTTTCAAAGACGAGGCACACATTTATATAACATGATCTAGAATATTTAAGTTATACTCACAAATTTGTACTACTTGAAGATCTGACACACATATAAATAAAAGAAAAAGTAGCACAATGAGACAACCTAATTTTTTATGTGTGATAAGCAATGTAAGGGAAAAAATACTGAACTCTAATAATTCACTTGTCGAGACGTTTAGTTTATAAACTTCTAGAAAAAAAAATGTCTAGACAATCTTCAATTCGAATTCAAAAAACTATTCATAAAAAATACATCGAGATTCGTGTTTGATGAAAATTATATTGATGCCATCAATACAAATTTGCTTGATCTGTAATTGTAGATAATTTTAATTTTTGAGATTTTAATGCAAACAAAATTACTTCATACATTAATACTTATGCCATAATTTATTTCAAAATGTATTAAACAATTGACATAATCTGTAATAAATAGATGGATACAACATAGCTAATTCCATTGAATGTGAAGAGCTAACAGCAACTTGCAGGGGCATATGAGACGAGAATTGTTATGAACATAACGTTATATGACACATCCATATAATTATACATGCATTTAAAAAATAATATTGCTTGCTACATTTAATAATGACATTATAATATGAAGATAAAATAATGTATAAAATATTATTTTTACTTATAACGATGAGAATAACAATCCAAAATCAATGTCACGCCCAAATAAATACAAGAATCAAAATTTATTAAAAAAATAAACATGTACAAAACCAATAAAGAAATATTTTAAAATCACATCTAATAATTATTTATGTTAAATCTGAATTTGTATTGTGAAGCATGGTCAAGAATGGAAGCGGTACAAACCTCGAGTGAGAGGTAGAGAGATACAGAGAGGTAAATAAATAATGAAAGTGCGCACACAAACTTATCCCATAAGAGTGAACTGAGATATTTCCGAGCTCTGTGACCTATTTTATATATTGCAACTGAGATTACAAAATAAAAGGGAAGAGAGAACTCCCTACACAATGAGTATAGAAAGAAGTGCCTAAAAAGGCCCAAGCATATAGAGACAAAAAATTCCTAATATATGCTATGGACCCCCTATTTATATAAGATATAGGGTCGAAGATAAAAAATTAGATGCTTGCCTCTGCTTTAAAAGGCTCAAGCCTAGGCACCCAGATCTATATAAAAGCGAAAAAGTAGTTTTTAGCCCATTTCCTCCAAATTTTCTCCCATGTTCTTCTTCAACCGACATAGCATCCTAGGGAAAACTAAATTTCTCAATTTTCTCGTGATCTAGGAGATTAAAAAACAGAAGAACAGTATAATGATTTCTTGGTATCAAAGAAATTCATTCCGGAGAGAGGATTTGTGTCTCCTAGAGGGGAGGTAGAAAGTATATTAGGTAAGAGGGATTGGGTAGAATTGTGTTTCAATACTAGTGTTATAGTGATTTATGTAGTTCGGGACTTCTATTCAAATTTGCCCGAAGCTATCAATTATGTATATGTTAGAGGGAAGCAAGTGGATTTCTCCTCTTTTAGGATCAATGCACTGTATTCTTTGTGAAATTTGGGGGATTTTGATATGTTTATAATTTGACAATTAATGTTATTTATATTTATATATTTTAATTGATGAAATTGCACTTTGAGGAAGATTTTTGTGTTGATTTTGTAGGATGCAACAAGGATGGGCATCAAGAATCAAACTGAAACAAATCGAAGGTTGAAGAAAAATTTGGTTGTTGGGCACCTAGGTGCCTACCCATTGGTGCCTTGGCACCAAAACCCAACCAAAAAACAGAGAGCATGGGGCCAAAGTGTCATCGAATGGGCGCTTAGGCACCGCGATAGTGAGAGCTTAATCGCCATGAACTTGGGCGCTTAAGTTCATGGCGCTTAAGGTCCAAATGAACAGTTCCAAACCGAGAGCTTCGAGCTTAGGCGCCAGCCCCTGGGCATCTAGGCGCCCAAAACTGAAATCAGCAGTTGGAGCAGTTCAAATTTCGAGATCATGGGAAGATCATGGTAATCATGGGGAGATAATATAAAAACGAGGGAGACGAAGTGGGGAGGGTTGCTTCTACTTCGCTTCAATTTTAGCTTTTCTTATGCCCAGACAGTGAAGAAAATTCTGAAATATTATCAACAGAAGAAGGGAGGTGTGAGAGACTTTGAAGAGAAATGCTCGTATTTTATATATATTCTTTATTATAAAAAAGAGAAAGATAAGTTCTTTTTTATAGTTTGTTGTAATATATTATTTGCAAGACTTTTGTATTTTAATTGCTCTTTTAATCAAATGATGTGTCAATGTGTACAAGTAAGAGTAGTGAGTAATCTTCCTTTTTCTCCTTTGGGATGGGGAAGTAAGATTGATTGATGTAAAATTGTTGTTCGTTTTTGAACAAAATCATTATATAGTGATGAATAATTTTCTGAACTTTATTTACAATTCATTTTGGTCATTTTATTTGTTAAGATTTGTTGTTAATTATGAATCTTGGAAGAGATAAAAATATAATCAACTAATATGTTAATCGCATTAGCCTGTAGGAATAAAAATATATCTTGTAGGGTGTTTGTTTTATTTTTTATTTTGAAAATAATTTTGATTTAATATATGTATAATTTTTATTCTAAAAAAGGAAATTTCTAATTTTAAAAAATGAGACCGAACAGATCTCAAATATTTGGTTGTTTAAATAATCGAGTACAACATCAGGAGTAATATGTCACCTTAAAAGATGATAATATCATTTAATAATGAACTCAATTATTCAAACTAAAAATTTAGGATATTTGTTTGGTCTGTGAAATTTCTAACAGACTCTTCTCCTACCTAATCCGAAGATTAAATAGGGTTTAAATTATTTGGGTTATTAATTATCATATAGGTGCAATCCCTTATAATTAATTAGATCTTAAGAAGTTGAAATCACTTTAAAAAACTCTCCATTAAGATTGGGGCTTTGTCTTCAAAGTTTAGTGTCCACGATTGGTTATGGTAAAAACAAGTGAGAAGGGATCAATGTGGAACAATTATTTCCGGAACCCAAAGGAGCGAAAGATATGTGATGTCAAAGATACTGAAGAAACCTCAGTGACATCTCAAACTAACTTATGGTTTGACTTTATATTTTGAAAATGTTGTTATTTGATATTTACTCCTGTCATTTTATTTTAAATATATGACTTACATTGCGTGGAATACGATCAACGCAAATAGCCTAAGATAAAATTTATGTCATACCGAACAACGACCTCCGAATTTAGGGCTAATATCGCACGCCAGCGATCATGCGAAAGCTTAAAAAATATTGAGAGGATTTACGTCGTGTTAGACGAACAACCTCAATGTTCTAAAGGTTTATGTTGTTTAAGTTTATGGAAAGTTTAGTTGAGGATCATCCTTCGCTTCATGTTTTGATATTGATTATCGTTTGAAGGTTGGCCACCACTCGCTCGCGTCATATTGTTCTTGAGAAGAGGAGGGACGAGAGAAATCATACCTCGAACAATCTAGCATAAGTTATTTGTTGTTTGTTGTTGTTAAGTTTATTATTGAAGTTATTAAAGTGGAAATTTTATTTTATGTTAAGCGACACCGATCAAGATTCCATGGTTTCGTCGTCCCGACATCACTATTAGTTTTGAATTTACTTAGTTTATACAAGTTGTTAGACTTATTTAGATGAGAGAACTCTTGTTAGTAACCTTAGGTTACCTCCTCCAAAAAGTCCTCATAAATCCAAAAGGGTGAATTATTATTGTTATATTATTATTTTAATCTACATGAAGAGTTTGAATTGATTTATTAAAATCTTAAATACTTTATGATTCCTTCTTTTGTTACAAAATTTTGTATAATTTTTAAAATTGTTTTGTTCAATGAATGTGTTAGTCTCATGTTATAGGGTTTCAACCTAACCATATGTCCTACGTCATCTATACTAGGGCTTCTTTTTTACATGTCAGGAACGCGTAAAGAAAAACAACAATATCATGTGTATAAACAAAGCATATACAATCAAGTGCAGTAAAAGAAAATATAGTAGCACGTATATTCCGCCTTAGATTATATTTCAAATAAGAATTACAATATATGAATCCATACTTATTAACTTATATACTGGTTTTAAGACAAGAAAAAAATGAATGTGTAAGGTTTCTTAGGAGAAGCTAGGAAAATCATCTCGATTGCACACTTATATCGAAAAGAATCCCCGGGCGCCACGAAGCGTGCCATCTAGGTGGAGGGCAACAAACTTCTTAAGCAACATTATCAGTGATGCAAAAATTAAGAAATTTACTTACAATTCACTCAATTCTTATGTGTTTATATATCTCACACTTAAACTTTCATGTTTACACACATAGTACTAAAATTTTTAATATCACATAAAAATTAATATCATTATCATCTTTCTAAATGAAATGCATTTTTTTTATGGATGTGTTGAAAGTACCAAAGCGCTATGCATGTAAACATAAAAATTTAGGCTTTAAGCATTTAAATGCATAGGAATAAAGTAGCATGTAAAAATTATTTTATTTTCCTCTAATCATCTCTTATCCTCCAAAAAGGACTTGAAAATTACAATTCAAAACAAGAATTATATCTTCAAATGACAATAATTGATAATATGGGATTGTTGCTAATGCTTCCAACACAATAAATATTATATTACAACTCTAACCATTTAAATACTTACTACTTAATCTTTATGTATTTACATATTCATCACCTAAATTTCAATTGTTACAAACATACCACCTTACCTATGCACGAGTAAACCAAGATTTCCAAAATAATCGCTTCTATGTAAGTCTTCATGCTAAGGGTCCGTTTGGGGCAGCTTATAAGTGAGGCGGCGTTTTGAAAACCCCGCCGTACCATTTGGTTCGCGCGTTTCGCCAGCTTATCTGAAACTAAGTTTGGGTTCTTACACTAAACGCAAGCCGCGGATCGACCCTTGCGGCCGGCCTACGGGCCGCGCTTCAGGATAAGCAGTTTATCCTGAAACGCACAAGCTGCCCCAAACGGATCCTGAGTTTCACTAGGGTCAAAAGAAGTAATAAGCGTAGAAAATAATTTAAATTAATGAACTGTTTTAGAAAATGAAAAAATATATTTATTCAATTATTGGAATCGGCTTTAATAAAAATTAGATATCACAATTAGGTCTTACTCAAATCTGAAATCAAATAAGCTTAGTTTAACCTTGTAACCTAATTTCTGTCAATAGAATATGAAAGATTGACCTACATACCACTCAATTCTTATGTGCCTATATATCTCACACCTATATTTCACTTAATATATATATAATATATATATATATATATATATATATATATTAAAAAGGTGATATCTTTTGTGTGACAAGAAAGATTTGGGTGGCAAAAATGTAAAAGCAAAATTTCTGTGTTAGATTTGTAAATACATAGGAATTGGGTGGTATGTATGGAAATGCCCCAAATAAACTTACTGATTTTTATAGGAATAAAGAGACTGAAAAATGAGCAATTAAGCTAAGTTACCTCCATTTGATCTCCCAAATTGACAAGAAAAGCATGTGAAACAGTGAGAACTGAAAACCCTTCGCCATGTTCAAGTGTGCCAAAACCAATTTCATACAGCTTGTCCAGTATATCTGAAATGCTTGATGAAGCACACCGGAGAGCTTTCAAAGCAGCAATCCTTCTCTCATGAAATTCAATATATGAAGTTAAGGCCTCAACACTAAGCTCCCCCACAATTCTTGGCTCAAGATCTGCTCTAGTGACGCCTCCTGCATCATCAATATCGGCAAGTGCGTCCCAATTTGGAGTAGGGATTCCACCAGCTGCGCTTAACCCTTGTGAGCCATTATCTGCCAAAATTTTAGCCAAATAGTAATAATCATAGCGCAATGCAGTCCTATCCTCACATTGTTGATGAAGCATAAGGGATGGCGCTAAAGATGGGTCGGCTGAGTTGCACACAGCAAGTTTTGGACACACATGATGCGCGAGCTTCCTCTGTGGACTTTTCTGATCTGCCGTCACAGCAAATTCATGAATACTCCTCGCTAACTGAGCACAAGAAACTGGCAATTCTTCTTCTAACTTTGTGGTAAATCCTTGAGGGGATTCAAAGCTCGCAGCCAAAATGGTGTCGCTCTGGATCTGGCTCAAGATGACCTTCTTCTTGTGATTAGCGTTCACCGGCTTGCCAAGCGTTGTCGGAACCGCCGACAGTGAGGTAACCACAACAACAACTAGAAGAATGGACTTGTGAGCAGCTCCAAAAATAAATCCACCAGAAATAAACCTCATCACAAATAAGAGAATCACCACCGCAAAAACGGCCTCGAGAAAACGTTTCTTGAATGGATAGTTGTCCTCCTGAACAAGCTGTGTTGCAGCTTACTTATTTGTCATGGATGTGTTAAATAATTCATGTTTCAACTTTATACATAAATTTCAAAAGAAAATTACATAATAGTCAAGATCTTTTAAATTCATGATTTTTTTGTATGTAAAATAAAGTGACGCATATTTGTATTCATGATGAACAAATTTGATTTTGATGGAGTTTCTCTCTCTTCTCTCTAATCCCTTAAAACTTTCTGTACTTTCTGATGGAGATAAATGTACAAGGTGTGCTAGGTAGAAAGAGGACCCATTCTCAAATTCATGTTTTATTTAACCACCATCCACCAAGGGGGTTACTAACCAATAGGTTTTATGATAATTTAATAAATTAATAGATAATTTAATAAATTAATTGATTTTATTAATAAAATCAATTAGATAAGTTAGTAACATTTATTTATTTTAGGGGTTATATGAGTTACAAAAATAAATATCATAAGTTACGAGTTAAGAAAATAAATAACTTAAGTTATCAAAATAAATATCATAAGTTGTCATAATTTATGACATAAGTTATGAGTTAAGAAAATAAATAACTTAAGTTATCAAAATAAATATCATAAGTTGTCATAATTTATGACATAAGTTATGAGTTAAGAAAATAAATAACTTAAGTTATCAAAATAATAAATCTCACAAAAATAAATCTCATAAGTTATTAAAATAAATGTGAGTCATAAATAAAAATATAACATTCTCCCATTTGGCTCACTTAATTTTAATAGTGCATTATATACTGTAAGATAAATCCTTCTTTATATTGATTAAATCATAAATTATTTAAAAAGTATGAAATTAATATGAATCATGGCGCTTGTGCATCAATTTATCGACACAGTCCTTTCCATGTATCACAATATCAATTACATACTTAGCATAATGAGAATTAACATTATGGTCCCATAATGTCTATTAAAAGACAAATCTTGTTGAAACATCATGCAACATAAAGTGTACACTAACGATAAAAACAAGATTTATAAATATCAGAAACAAGAAAAATTGGGCCCAAAATGTCAAAATATAAAGAGCATAAAACTAATAAAGGGTTTTAGTAATGCCCATTCTCACGACATGTTCGTTAAATGTCTTCGGTGACAATCCTTTTGTCAAAGGATCTGCAATCATGAGATTGGTGATAATATGCTCAATTGACACCCTATGTTTCTGAACTTCTTCCTTAACGGCAAGATATTTTAATTCCATGTGTTTAGCACCTTTGGAATACTTGTCGTTTTTGGAAAAGAAGACTGTTGTGGAGTATCACAATAAATTTTCATCGTCTTGGCAATACTGTCGACAATTCCAAGTCCTGAAATAAAATTACGCAGCCATAAACCCTGAAGAAGCAAGCCACAAATTCAGCTTCCATAGTGGAAGTAGCTGTGATAGTCTGCTTCGCACTTTTCCATGAGATTGCTCCTTCAGCCAAAAGGAACAAATAGCCAAATGTTGATTTTCTGGTATCAATACATCCAGCAAAATCTGAATCTGAATATCCTATCACTTCAAGATCTTTAGATCTTCTATAAGTGAGCATGTTGTCTTTTGTTCATTGTAGATACCTCAAAATGTTCTTTGCAGCTTTCCAATGATCTATTCCTGGATTATTTTGATACCTGCCCAGCATCCCGACAACAAATCTAATGTCTGGTCTGACACAAGTTTGAGCATACATTAAGTTTCCAACAATAGATGCATAAGGAATTTCTTCCATTTGTTTATGTTCCAAATCATTCTTTGGACACATCATAAGGCTGAATTTATCTCCTTTCTAAATTGGAGCAACACTTGCTGAGCAACCTTCCATGTTGAATCTCTTAAGAACTCTTTCGATATATGTTTTCTGAGACAACCTAACAATCCTTGTGATCTATCACGAAATATTTTAATTCCAATCACATAGGATGCCTCACTCATATCTTTCATCTCAAGTTCTTAGAGAGAAATTTCTTGGTTTCATATAATAAGCCAAAATCATTAGTAGCCAGCAAGATGTCATCAACATACAGAATAAGAAATATAATTTTGCTCCCACTGACCTTTAGATATATACACCGATCAACAATGTTTTCCTTAAATCCAAAGGACGTGATGGTATCATTAAACTTAAGATACCATTGTCGGGAAGCTTGCTTAAGTACGTATATTGATTTCTTAAGTTTACACACCATGTGTTCCTTTCCTTCAACCAAAAATCCTTCAGGTTGACTCATGTAGA